TGGTTTTTTTCTTCAAATTGAGACGAATCTGCCTTCAAATCATACATCAGGCTGTACTGTTAGGAAGGCAAAACCACTATAAAATAGCAACATGATAAATGCAATATATTTTTGTGAGTAAAGCCTTGTTCTTTCTAAATTTAGTCTAGATTTTAAAATGCATGATTGCAACCTTGAAACAATGTATGCAAGGATCACTGTTTTTTTTATTTTTCAACCTCTCAATTACATCTGCTTATATATATATATATATATATATATATATATATATATATATATATATACATATAGACTCTGTATGTGACATCTGCATCACAGCAGTGAATATTGTACCTCTAAAGAGTGTTTTAACTCTGTCCCATTCTCAGCCATTTCCAACCTATCATCCCTATACTTATCCAGAGCTCTTCAACTGCACTGTAATCCCAGTCATCTTTGCTAAATAATTGTCCTGGTCTCTGAAAACTAGGTGATATAAATGGATATCAGGAGAGCATTCCTCCTGTTATGTCCTGCTTGTAAACAAGCAATAATCCATACAATGATTAATTTTTGTGTATTAGCATTCAGACAAGTCATAAACATCCCCCTTTTCCAAACTGGATTAGGCTCATGATCCCCAGGGAAGATTATAAAACTGCCCTTCCATAATTCCAGTCTGTCTTTGGTGGAAGACCCTCTTGGCTGCTCTTCATTTTAAACAAAATATTAAATAAATTAAATCAATATAAATAACTTTATTTATATAATGTCCTATCTCCCTGAAGGGACTCAGGATGGTGAACAACATAGTCAGCAATCAATGCCATACAAAAGAAAAACATATAAACAAATAACCATCCCACCAAAAACCCTCGTAGATCCATATTTAAACCAAAAATAAGACTCATTATAACTATAACTGTTACAATTCCATAATAATAATAATAATAATAATAATAATAATAATAATAATAATAAAATTATATTCCACCTTATCTCTCCAGAGGAACACAGGGCGGATTCCAAACATAAAAGGCAAACATTCAATGCCTGATCACAACAATACACCAATAGTAACAAAATGTAGCAATCCAACATATAAAAACAAATTATGACGTAACAACTAAAATTAAATTAAAAATGTAACCTGTTATATCAGGCATAGGACAAAGCATCAAACATCTAACAGAAGCATCAATTTCCCAGTTCCTTGGAAACAAATAGATTGATCATTGTTCAAGATATCTATTGAGCTGGTTGGGTGAACAAGGCACAGATACGGATGGTAGGTATTAATCAGAGGTTAAATGGTAGTCTTACCAACTACTACCCCTCCTCCTCCTCGTAAGCCAGTGAGCAAAGGTATGTAAGCAAAAAGTACTGCAATTATTAATGGCATGAACATCCTCATATTTGGGTCAACAATGAGGGTGGATGAATTCAAAACTCTAAATTGATTAATTTAAATAATAACATTTAAATTCTACTAAAGTCTGCCAAAGATTGCTGCCCCACCTAGATATGAACTCAATTTAACCCCATCCTGTTCAATATTCTTGTTTATTCAGTACTACACTCAGATCATATAAAACCTAATTTCACATACAGATCTTTCAGATCAATTTCCCTCCAATTAAATTACATTTCCTTTTTCCTCCACAAATCAAAAAAATCAAGAAAAAACCCTCTACACAACTTGAATTTTTCTTCCTACCTCCAGAACTCCAGCAGAAGGAATAAGATTTCAGGCACACATGGAATTCACAATAAATAGTTCCCATCTCAAGAGGGAAAATAGGGGGGATTATGAAAAAAGACAAAAACATGAGGTTATAACAATTAGACCAATTGTTTTATAGTTTACCTCATATCAAAAGTAGACTATTATAGACTGCAGAAGCATATAAGTACTGTCACATATAATCAATGTGAAAACAGTGTATTGATGTCACAATTGTAGAGTGCCCCAAACATTGTTGAACTATAATTCCCAGCAGACCTAACCAGCATAGAGAATGGCAAAGAAGGTGGGAATTACAGTAAAATATCTGAACAGCTACCTGATTCCCACCCATACTTTATACAGCAGATGGCTATGGAGAGAGAGAAAAGTCCAGTTGTTAAGAAGTAATTTAGTTAACTGTGCAATATATCTTCATGAAGAAGAAAAAATGCCCCCTCAAAAATTATATTCTGTGAATGAAAAAAAAACTGAATGGATTTTGGTGAAAACTTTTACTGAATTTTGTAATGACATACCATTGTGATGTACACTATTGTTCTGACATGCAACATGTAGCTAATTCAGCACGTTACATTGTGAATTTATGTAATAAATGTGATTAATTTGGGATGTAGAGTAAAATTGTGTTTTTAATCCAACAGTATTTTTTGTTTGTTTTTTGGCCTCAAGATGTTGATTTATTAATCTGTGAAAAGATTTCCAATTTACGGATGAAAGCATACATACAAACCTGTTTATTCTATTGAGCAAAGTTTGAACCTGCAAGCTGATTTCTATTCATTTTCTAGATAAGTCTTTTGGTGAATCTGAAGTCCTGTCATCATCTTTGTTGAAAGCAAAATGCTTTCAGTTTCATTTCTTTCTGCAGTGTATTCTACACCTTTTATCATATTTCCTCTAAAAGAAATATAATTTAGCAAATATTAATAGATTGCAGTACAGCCAGCCCTTCATATTTGCTGATTTAACTTTTGCAGATTTGATTATTTGAAATGTGATTAATATGTTCTCCCAGAAATCTGCGTCTTCCAGTCCAACTTTGTGGTTTACTATAGTTCACTATAGAGTTGAGTCAGATGATCTAGGGGTTCCTAAAGAGGTGTTTGCTTAGGTTAAAAAATAGTGTGCCCCCCCCCCCTTACCAAGGTCCTGCACTACTAGTCACCACAAAGATTGACAGCCTACTATAATGTATTAGCACTGCATTCAGAGAGGTGAAACAAATATCAGCCATTATCTAGGTTCTCCTCTCCTACTGATCACTTGACACAAGCTTGATGCCTCTTTGCTTTCAACAAAAACAACACAAAGTTTAATAAGAGACCACACTATTACAGGTATTTTGTGCTGTAGCCAGTAGACCCACCCAACTGTTCTCCTGATGTCAGAAGTAATATCTGAGATACTGCTCAAATGATTGGTTCATTCAATAGATCTCTTGAGCTGATGACAGGTGGCTATGGATTGCAATTATTTGTAGATAAAGTCTGAGCTATTTCTGGTTATGTTTTTCATGAACCACATCCTGTAGGACTGTATCAGCACTTGCCAAGAGAAGAGTCCTTAGAACAAGAGATATGTATTAATCAGATTCTTGAGTGATGTAACCTCGGCTAGCTTATTCATAATCTCATCCTTCAGGCTTTCCAAGGGAAATCTTATTCCAATTGGATTTACTGCCCACAGGAGAAAAGACTTGGCATGTTCCTGGATTGAAGCAGGCCCTCTTTCTGCCTTTGGTGCATCGTCATTGCCAATACAGTATAAGGACTCAGGAAGGAATGTTATCACACCATACACGGTGCAGCTCCCAGGACTAAGAATGAACTATCAGTTTTAATTTAGTCATCAGGAGAGTCTTCAGGTTTGGCATTACACTTAGAAAGTGGCAAAAGAAATCTCCATCCTTTGCGGGGGGGGGGGGCTCTGGGAGGTGCACCAGACATTTTTCCTGGAGGACAAATGGACAGAGGGACTATTGCTTCCATTTGTATATTCCTGACAGTGGATCATAACAATGAACAAAAGCTCATGATGCACAAAGCATTGAGAAAATCTAAGTCAAGGAAGTGGTAGCAGATGTTGTAATGCCTGGGGAAGTTCTAAGTAAGTTCTAATATGATGAAAGTCCCCTGAGGTATTGCATAGCTCTTGGGCTACACTAGATCTGTCCTGGCCAAGTACTAGTTCCAGGAATCATGGAATGCTTGAATGCAGTGTCCCTGAGCTGGAGATAGGTCTATAGATAATCAGCAATAGTCTGGAGCCATGTATCTTGGGTCTCCCAGACTTGGTCATTTCTGGTATTTTCAGGTTCACAGGTCTCTGAGTACTGCTTGGACACAGCGTCTCCTGTAATGCATAACAGTTTCCTTACCATCTGAGATGGTATCCATGCTCATGCTCATCCTAAAATCATGGCATCAATTCTAGCTTATGTCTATAACTGGAAGAATTTTAATCTAGTACAGCTGGCATTGTGGCATTCTGGATTTGCCTCTTAAAGAGGCAGTCAACAATAGCCTTCCTACAAAATACTAAGAACTTGTTTTTCTAAGAGAAAACTATCTCTTTTTGAGAACTAACATTTTGTGTTAGATATCATAAATGAACTTTGGCAAGGAAATGCTTGGACATGGATCTACAATTACACCTATGTATATAATTAAATACTCTCCAATTTGACTGAGATAGTCCTGCTTTTCCTTTGACCTTCCACTTTTTTAGATGCTTTTAAAATGTCACAGGTTTTCTCTCCTTATACCACTTTCCCCCTTTGTCCTTAGTTTACTTCATCTTCTGCAAACCAAGTTCAGAAAGAATTTGCATTCAATTAATTCATCAAGGAAGATGGGAGAGGAAGGGCTGAATTTTGCCCTTCCCAGTAAGCTTTGACAAAAGCAAACTGCTGCAACCTCTCCTGGCTTGGTCGTTCTTACCCATTAATAACTTGTGCCATTTTGAACACACTCTGATGTAGCTCAACCACATGTGTACCAATTTTCATTTGGAAAATGTTGAAGGGTGTAGAATTATCTATTGCACTTTCTGCACAGATACAAATAATATAAAAAGTATTTTATACTTTTTAAAAGTACTCTTTCTCAGAAAGCTTGAAAACTAATCAGTGCAAGTATGTGTTGTTTTAGTACGTGTTAGTCATTTAGAAATGAGAAGGTGGAGATATTTGAAAAAGAAATCACCCATGCCCCACCCATGCAGGTCACATGACAAGGATTGCCACCAATTTATTCTGCAAATGAACTTGCTACTAGTAAGAGAACCAGCACAAAATTCTGTTTGTTTCTTCTGACTGAACAAACTTTATTCCAGTTTCATCATTGAGAAATCAACGTAGCAGTCTTGGTAAGTGAGATTTTCCCCTAAGGCAGACAGATTTTATTTATGCAGTGACAGCCTTTACATACATCATAATATGATCTTTGTATAAATTCTATTAAAAGGTTAAAACTAATGCAGTCCCATTATGAAAAATTCTCTCTTTCTTATTTGAAACAAAAAACTCTGCTTTTGTAAAGTTGGTGAACATTTACTGTAGTAATGAACAATTTTCTAAATAACATCCCATCTCATGACACTCCCCAATTGATCAAAATAGTTATTTGCAAAATTGTATTGACTGGAAAATTCAATAGATAACTTTGAAATATTAGTTTTATTTTTAAAATGAGAATGCACTAAATATAACTTTTAAAAATGCATTGTTTATGGTCACTCGGATGAGCTGATATCTCAGGCAAAATGCTGTAGTTTCAGTTTCATTTTTCAGATGAGCAGCAATTTCATTTCCTAGAACTGGGGTTTGTCAGCAAATTATTTATGTAACCACTTGTCTTATTGTTGGCTTCTTATTTTTGCACAATCCATTTCGAGTAGAGCTGTAAGGCATAAATTAATACTGCACTAATAAGTAATATTTACTTTTAATAGGACAATTCTATTGGAAAACAGAATTTCCTTTACAGTGGAGATCTATGTAACCGGATATTATCTGTCCTGTAAGTATCTAGTCATATACTGTTGATACTATTTACTAGTGTACTTTGACTTGAATGAACAAATGGGAGCATACTATGGCTTTCTCATGTATGTTCAAATATGAAGCCTAAAATATTGATTTTTTTATTTATTATTTTTGTTCTTTTTTTAATAGTTTGCATTTTTCTTGATTAATCACTCTTAGCTTATATATATA